TTAAAGCAACATTGCTTAATACGCGCGATTTACCTATGTCTTATTTAAACTAGCTTTTATCCTTAAAAGTCGTTACGATTGGAAAATGAACTGTTGTTAAGTATTATCGGTTGCCAGACTTGTGCCTGTTTGCGATTAGGGGTTCATTTGCAATTTGGTCCTGTACCGGTTGTAAGTGTGCCTGTATGCTGGTTGTGTACATGCCGTTTTTCTTTTTTCCTTCTTATTTGTTTTATTGTATTTATACTAAGTTTTATTATTAATTTAATATAAGTTTTGCTTTAAGTGCCAATTGAAATCGACTGTTATTTGTTTAGTTGAGTTTCATGTATAAGTAGAATTAAAATAAATACATAAATAAATAAATAAATCAATATTCCTTTTGGTAGAAATGGGTAAATGGGGAATATCGGTAGTTCTAACGTTAAGCCGCTGAAACTAGCAATTAACTGCTATAGAACTCCCAAGACTGATCAATGATTTGTTTTAAGGCGCTTGATGTTTGAAACTTATTTGAGTTTCTCCATATGTCTCCACATATATCTCAACAGTAACTCATGCCTCGTATTTCAAACTCGCGCTATTTTATCAATACTCGAAATGTCGAAAGAAGTTAAATCAAATATTATGTCGTTATCATAGAGCAGAAGAAATAAAAAAAGCCCACAGTTTGAAGAAACGTGCGATTGTATTTAAAATTGCAAAAAATTTAATTACATCATTCGATTTTCTATTCTTTTCTTATTTTATCCTCTTTTTATTACTTTGTTCGTTTAACAATTATTCCATTTATATTTCAATTAATGTCTACAATATTTTTGTGTTTATTTATTCATTCTACATATCGTTCATAATAAATACAAATGTTTGCACATACTGTTATCCTCGTATACTTATGCGAAGCAATTAAAAATAATATGATTGATTAAAAATGCAACCAGAAAAAAAATGATCTGTAAAAGCATTAAAACACATGTGTATATGCGCACGCATTAAAAAAAATCCCGAAACTAGGCAAACAACAACTAAACTAAACAAATTTATAGATTGCATTTCAGTTTCATGAAAATTTCTATTTTGTTAACAAAAAATTATATTTTGTATGTATTTGCGCTTGTTTTAAAAATTCTCATAAAGAGAAAAAGAGAGCCAGAGAAAGGCAAAATGAAAACGAAACAAAGAGAGAGAGAGAAAGAGATAGAGAGAGAGAGAGAGAGAGAGAGAGAGAATGATAATGTAAAAAACGAGGAGGGTATGCGTTCAAATGATGGGAATAGTTTTAGTTAGGGGGTACATGTACGAAATTTATAGTTAATAAGTTATATGTGCATTTATAAATCTGAGCATGTGTTCATGCATACGTGTGCATATGTATATATAAATGGTTGTAGGCACGCCTTTGTCCAAGTCAGTTCAAAGGATTTGAACTATTACCACATTTTCCTGAATGTAAGCCTATGGTATACATGGCAGTTCCTAAAAACAAAAATAATAATAATAATAATAATAATAACAAAAACAACATCAAGAGCAGCAACTAATGCAACGACAAGCATTCATACATGACCACCACAATAAACATCTTTTTTCTGTTTTTTAATTTTTAATGAAAATATTTAGGCGAAATTTTGTTATTTCGCTTTTCTTTAAATTTTAAATCAACCAATAATCTTCTCCCACTTACGTATAGATGTATGTCTATATGGAATCCACTTACGTATCTACGTATATATATATATATATATTAAAGTTTAGCATAAATTTATTGTAAAATTTTTTCTTTTCATGGATGCAACACATATATATATACACATGCATACATAGGTATACACAAATGCAAACTTTTTAATTAATTTTAATTGCAAATTCTAATAAAACACACCATACGTGGTGTGCATGTGTTTGTACAGCAGAAAATCCATGGAAATAAAAACCACAATATTAAAACAACACTATACGGATAGAAGCCAACCAACCACACTTATACATTACATACAATGAAAATTTCATTTGAAGTTTATTTTAATTTTTGTATTATTATTTATTAGAGATTGCTTTCTATATGAACTATTGCTACTACACTACTACTTTATTAGGCAAAGCCACTTAGTTTACTATTTCACTTGCAATTTTATATTACCGTAAAGCAATAAGCAACATACAAACACCGCCTATAATGTATGACGATATGCCATGTGTTAGCGTGGTAAACAGAGACATTTTTTTTTTTTTTCTTTTGAGCAATGACAAAGAAATTTTGAATTAATCGAGAAGGTGTTGGTTAATCTATTTTAATAATTTCCAATAGGAAGATATTTTAGAGAATTTCAATGCACTTTTCCTTCCCATTTTGCCTTCTCTTTCACGTACATTAAGGCAATTAGTTTGGCTAAAGAAGGAAGAAGAAAAAAAGGGGGGAGGGAAATTCACATTGAAATTGCTTCTTTTCCAATTCAATATATGAGCCGTTTTTTTTTTTTTTTTTTATTAGTTTTATTTAAAATTTTTATATTTATATTTTGTAATCCTGGACAAAAGTTCCCGATATGTCTGTGTTAACGTGTGCTTTTACAAACAGATATAATTTAATAAATTAGATATTATTTAATTACACATAAATACAGACATGGATGTTTACATAAATGTTTATTTACAACGAGATTGTATACGCGCTTTTTTATGTCATTTTTTGATAGAATTAATTAAGTTGTAATTGTATCGATATAGAATTATTTGGTGTGTTAATGTGTTCGCTGTAGAAGTTTTACGTAAACACAAACAGGCGCATAGAAATAAATGGATTGCATTAAATGAAAGAATATATTAAAAGAATTAATTAAATTTGAATAAGCCGCATATATCTGCTCGCTGTTATGAAACACGCTCGACAATCATTACGTTACAGGTACTCGAAAATAATTTCTAACCAGAGTGCCACAATGCACACATAGTTAAATTATTATTACTCATCGCCAGCTCGAAAGTTGAAAGCATTTATTAATTACATTATTCCCATAATTTAGATATATTCACTACATATATCCGTCTCTGCTATGTCATGGTGCGATGGCATCTACAGAACTTTGCCCAGACCTTTTTAATTCAATCCCACGGACCAAGTTTAAAGAAAGCGACAGAAAGTGAAAAAGAAATGACGAAAAATCAACGAGCATGGCAGATATCAATATATAAGTGTGTTAAATAATACATCGCTCCATACGCATACAGGCGCTAGACGACTACTGACGTATCCATATGAGTTTCAGATATTAGATTGTGTGATTTCGTTTTTTTTTTTTTCGCCAAAATAAAAGACGATTTTTCTATAACAGATAAATGTATTACTATGACAACAAGCCTTGCTATATTAGCAAATGCAGCTCAAGCGTCAACTTGGCTGTAGAAAATATACAATTAAAATCCACTGACCTTTAAGGGAAATTGTATCAAAATTTCAAACATTCCGATATTACTTTACATATTACAGTTGTATTAGACACACCTATACGTCCTGCTAAACACTTATTGTTTGACGTTTTATGTAACATCTACGACACATATCTCGAAGTTTAACGAAAAAATGATTTCAATCGGTCAGTCAATAACATAGTTAACAATTTTAACTTACTGATCGGTTGAAAATTATGGATATGGAAACTGTTTGAATTCGAAATAAAATAGTTTTGAAACTATGACATTTTTTATATACGTATTTCCTTTTTTTTTTTGCTTTTTTTTATTTAATAAGAAACTCGTGCGATGTTTTCTATGGACTAAAGGTAGCGGGGGAGGGGGATGTGAGGAATTCAGGCTAGAGGTCGAACAATGCTACTACCCTTATCTTGTTTTAATTTGTACAAAAAAGAACCCATAGGTGGACTACCGCGATACCGAAGTCATTGAAATCACACGAAACCGCGCTGACAGGGGCGAAGAATCGATCTTTTCAATCTTTGTATTTTGGAGAAGGAGAAAATTACCAAATGTATGCCACGATTATGCAACTACTTATCAGACCTTAAGCTATTCACTGAACGTGATGATTAAAATGATTTTCATTTGCCGCTGTAGTGCTTGTAGACCAACACAACTTCATGAAAATGCAATTTTTATAAAAAGATTGTATAATAAGCATTGTAAAGGTAACACAAAGTTATTCGTCCGTTATTGACTTTCAAAGTTTGACATTACGCAGGAGTAAATACTTCAAAATGAGGCAGATTATGGATTCTATTTAATCGTATATTTGTATATGCAAACTATACGCAAAGATAAAAAAAAAACAAGACCGAAAGGTATACTTGATGGCCATGTGTTTACTTTAGTTCCATTTTGTTGCAGATTAAAGCTTGGAAAGAGCTTGACAATCTTACATGTATGACTGCAACATTCAAAAAACCAGCATCGATCTGAAATACAGCTCGACAATCTCCAAATCCATTTACAAACTCATTATGTAAAAGGTCGCTGACCCAGCCCCATGGGGCAAGATAAAAACTATACGAAATATTTTAAGCAGATACAGATTCTTTTGCTTTGTTTTGCTTCTGTTTTTTTTTTTTTTTTTTTTTTTTTTCAAATGAAATCATTTCAGTTTTTCTCATTAACATTAAAAACCTAATCTCAGAAATACACGCACAACTGGAAAAACGCGAAATAATACAACTGATTGATATTAAGAGCATGTGGGTCAAGGATTAATTTAATGGAAACAGGAAACTACGAGCAAGAAAATGAGTAGTGTTTTTTTTTTTTTGTTTTACTCTCATAGAAAACAAGATATTTGAAGCAATTCAGTTTAATTGATTGCATCTCACGAAAGTCGGTAATTGAATAACTGAAATTTAATTGTAAAACGGAAATGGTTTATCTTGCTTATATGTATGTAAGAAACTGAGCTTAGAAGAATTTGTAAAAAAATTTTCTTAAATTTGATTTAAATTTATTTTTAACTTCGTGGTTTTTCTTTTCTTTTTTTCCTTTTTTTTATCTCTTTTCAGATGATGTCTTATTTTCACGTCGAGGCCGTATGGGCCGTATAGTTAGTCCACGTCATACATTACCGCCAAATACAACATGCACATACCATTTCCATGGTTATCCAGGCGACCTAATTTGGTTATCATTCACCAGCTACAATTTGCAAATACTACAACAAGCTATACACGACAACAACACGTTAGGAAGGGTGAGTAAACTCTTCAGCATATTTCACAAAAACGGTCTTTACTCATACCATGCATATCTAATGTGATTTTTTTCGCTTTTTTTTTTGGCCCAATATTAAATATTCTACGCCAACACAAGCACTCACACTTGCATTTACATGCACACTTGCATTTATACTGATGCATACATTCATATATAAACCAGCAAGTATAAACATGTACCATATACCATAAACTTTGTGTTGACTGACACCTCCTTTGCTTTATTGTACTTCTTTTTTTTGTCTTTTTTTTTCGTAGAAGGGAGTAAGGTACGCAAAAAGTACAACACACACAAAACCCTAAAAACTTTCTGTTAGTTTTTCCTCTTTTATGTTTATATGTGTTTATACGATATGTGCATTGTGGGAATTACAACACTGTACAACAACATAAACTCACATTACCCCGAAAAATGGTCCTTTTCCTTTGGTTTTTTTAATGTAAGACCAACACTTTAATACATTTACCGGTTTTTTTTTTATTGTTTTTTTTCCCTCCTCCGTAGAACATCAACTTAAAGTTTCGCTTGTGTTGGTTTGTATGCAAATGACTTGTGAAATGTTGTTAGTTTGTTATGTGTATGTATCCGTACGTGTGTATTAGTAGTTTTCTTTGCACCCGTTTCTGTTTGTGCTCTTGCTGTTGAACAACAACAGCAGTTTTTGTTTTCTCATGCTTAGCTTAACTTTACGGTGGTGCTTTTGCTTTGTTGCTAGCTCTGTTATAATTCTGGCCGTTGCTGCTGCTGCTGCTGCTGCTGTTCATATTTACAATTCAATTATATTTTCTCTGCTTGTAATTCTAACATTTGCATTAAATTCTTTTTCGCTTTCAAGTGGAAATATTTTCAGTTTTCCGATCTGATTTAAAAAAGCAGTACTCACTATTTTGCTTTGAGGAGCATAATATATTAACTTTTTCCCTGACCCCATTTTCTCTCGTTTCTCCCACTTTCGATTCCCCTCTTTGTCCCTTCTTTGGGCGAACACGAATACATATACCATTCATAAGCTATAAACATAATGTAAAACCAAATGAATCGGCAGAGAGGGTAAACAGATATTGCAAAATGAAATTTTCTTAAAGGTCAAAGTTGACTTTTATATATAATATATAAGCATCGTCATTGGTAAAAAACGGCTAGTACCCTTAAATTTTGATAAGTAACTGATACTCTCATAATTTTATCGTAGCAATAATTAATTCAAATTTACGTTAAATAAAGCAGACATATTTTTTAAGCAGATCTCAACTACATTTGGATGGTTCCGTTGCAAATCGGTTAACTCCATTTTCGGGATTTTATTAAATTTTAATATCAAACCACTTCATAAGCTCCTAACTGGACATATTCAAAACGAATTTCTCTAATAAGAATAAGTATTAACACCACTAAATGACAAAACCGTTTTGACCACTGAATAATAAATAATTTTCGATACTATAATATGTTTATATCATCAAGTATATAAAGATTTGTGCAAAAAACTATAAAAAAATAATAATAATAATAATAATAACCTACTCGGGACATGTAGATATATTAAAACTGTTTTAAGTTTATTGGAATTTGGTTCAAAGTACAGAAATATAAGCTAAATCAACTGAAATGAAATTCCTGGAAAGTGGACGCAGTTACTTGCCTGATGATTTACAATTTGCTATCATCGAATCTCATGTAGAAAAAGTTCAGAATATCTTTTCGCCAGATGATTGGTATAATACAATAAAAGCCTGTAACCCGTAACCCGTCATAGGGTCCGTTTCATAGGGTTCCCATGACGCGTCAGGACTTTTTCTCTACAAGCACTTTAGAAAATTCTACCAATAATAGAAAAGTATCAGTTACAGGGAAAGTCGAGACCCCATCTGATAAAATTTGAGTATGACTTTAACGAAGATACCGAATTTAGTGCCATAAATATACGAAAAAGTGTAGCAGGTAGACCACTATATCGAAAAATTGTGATCCAGTCTATGTTGCATTCAACAGGGAGAACAGCGACAAGGAAAAAGAGGAAAGATATGATGGACTTCTTGAAATTCTGAAATTCTTTAATAAAACATATGTTTATATAATGACATTTTTCCGTAATAAAAGAATAATTGAAAGACTGAATTTGAACTAATAATAATTTTCTCTCAGTTGCCAAATCGGTTAACTCCCCCAATCACGAAAAAATTTTAGTAATAACAACAATTACTCCAAGTATATTCCATCTTATACTTTATAGACGTTTGCAATAATACAGTCTACATCGTATTTTTTAATTTTTAACTTGAAAAGAATTTTCAAAAATAACATGTAATATTTTACAGTTTTTCTCAATGTGTTTGTCTTGTTTTATGGAGTTAACTGATTTGGCAACTGAACCATCTATTTATGTTTTTGCTAAAACTGTTTCGAACTATTTCTTAAATTTATTACTTCAATTGTAAAGGGGAAGAATTTCAAAACAATAATAGTTTTTATGGAAAAGAAAATGTGAATAAATATCAATTAAACTAATCCGTCAATTATACACCTATAAATATAGACACGCAGCTTGGCTACGATTAATTTAGTTGATGCTAAATTTTTTTTTTTTTTTGTTTCTTCGCACCAAGTACCGCATTGCAAAAAGAGATATGTGTATTAAAATCAAAAAAACAGGAAAGCCCTTAATTTGTACAACATTAAAGAATCTTAATTAAAATATAGCGCCCGAAAAATCTCGCAGGAGAATGTAAGAATACATGGCGTAGAGAAAATGAAAAATTAATTTTTCCCTTTATTAATTTAAATACTAAGCATGTGCCTAACAAATGTACTGTTTTCTCGACCTAAGCTGGAACTTTAAACTGTTTCCGTAGCGCGTACCAAGTAAGAGATAAGGATACATTCGAGCAAAAGCCACGAAAATCAAAAACGAGAAATTATCTTTGTACATATATATATATATATTGCTTGTATGAAATTAATAGCTTACACTGCAGACATCTGGGCCATGTACAAAAATAGCTATACTAGATCTACATGGGTGATAAATAAGCTCCTTTTTATACTCACCACTGAAGGATGGGTATAAAAAGAATATGTTTTTTTTTTTTCATAATGTATGTAAGACCCAAAAGGGACCTTCAGAGACCGTATAAAGTATGTATACACTTGATCGGCGTGAAATTTTTAATAGATTAAGCCACGCCTGTCGCTCTATGTGTCTGTGTGGTGGTTGTTGTTGGAACTTTCCTGGTCGCAAAAATTAATATATCGAATTCAAATTTAGTAGAAACATTGGGAATTTTTGCACGCAGTTTGGTATTGAAAATGGGCCAAATTGATCAGAGCAGAAGCCGGGAGTGGAGCATAAACTGCACGCACTCTCTTATCATTATAACACAAACAAAACAGATTGTTTGAAACTATTTTCTACATTCCTCAAACGAAGATATATTATATGCCTAAAAATGGGTCCTTTCTGAAATGAATATGCTAGACACCGCGCTTAATTTCTTCGTAATAATACCAGCAACATGGATATCAAATTGGAGAACTCGGGGAGTAGCATGCGAAAAGCATAGTGGTGGGTATACGAGATTTGGCCCCCGCTGAATCTCTCTTTCTTACTTGTTTATTTATTCATTTATTTCAGCAGCCGATGCAATATATCTTCGAACTAAACTATAAGTAAAAGTATGATAGCTGCTGTAAAGTAATAGACATTGTTACAAATCGAAAAAAAATATGCTATGACTAAGCAATTGATTTCAATATTACAATACATATACAATAAGTAAACAGAAAGACGGAATATGAGTATTTCCAGCACAGAGAAAACCACGGTGACTGCCTATCTCTATCTTTACATTTTAAGAAATGCCGGCGGCATGATCGTAGAATAGTGCCATCAATGAGTTGCGTAGAATTCAGTGACGGATCAAACAAATCAATCTGAGTATAACCCATCAAACAGAGCACCCCACAAAGAATTCTGAAGTTGGAAATTTTTGCGGCAGCAGGACAAGTAAATTGCTTCACAGTCCCTCGTGAATTTATTAGATACCTTAAAGGAGATTCTCTGAAGAAAAAAGAGAGAAGATGCTATACGTTTAAACAATTTTACAACAAAGGCAATTTGTAATATCTCGCAAGATCTCTTCATTCAATAATGATCAAAACTCTTCGACGATTGTCTTATAAAGTTTAACGAACTTCCGGTTTTATTAAAAATCGTCTCAATTAAAGTTTTGTCAAACGGAGTTCTAATCAAACGGAGTACCAAGGCCGGCATTATCAGTTAAAATTATGGAAATGTTTTTTTTATTCTAACAATAGCTTAAAGCGCAGCGTTAAGCGTGCGAACAGCCTTGTCAAAAATTGTTCCTATTATTACTTTATTCATTGGGAGCACTTAAAACAATATGTTCTTTGCGTTATTATTTCTGTATTGTTTCAAAACATAAAAAAATCACGGGTTCTGTCCAGCGAAATGAATGGTTCAGAAATTGTCCTGGATTTAAAATTTTTCAAGGCCTTTGTGATGCGGTTTTTTTGTTTAACATTTGTGTTTCTACTTCTAGTTATCAAATGACAAGCATGAAAATCAGCTTGGCTGAATCTTGGACTTCTTGAGGCTACTTTGCGCAATTTTACAGAAACTTGTTGCATCGTTTTTTAAAGATTCCTTCTCTGCACATCATATACGTGCAATTTGTTATTATTATTATTAAGTAGGAACTGCCAGCAAAGATATAATATTTTTTTATAAAAGTTTTCTTTTCTCTTAGAAAAGCTAATCATCAAAACATTTGTTCAAGTATTCGTTCGTTACTTTTCAATTCTTATTCATCTATCTATCTCATCTATCTGTAATTATAAATATAAATGATTTTAGGCTAGACACACTTTTTATTTAAATTTATTAACTGTGGGTAATGTTATTCTCAGACTCAGGGAAATTCTTGTCAAAGGGATATTTGGATTTAAAAAATGAAATTTACAAAGTGTTCCTTATAAAAAATTCTTCGCAAATCTATTACGTATAAATGCGTAGCTTTAAGCTTTAACGGGTCAATTTATTAACTTATTTTTATTTCATTCTTTTAAGTCCTTTCGTTTTTCTTCATTTTCCTGCTCTCTTTTTTATTTGCATGAAAAGAAATTGACTTAATGCATGCGTACACACTTGTAGGCAATGAACACATATGAGGACAAATTTGTATAAAAATATTTCCACGGGGCATTTGTAATAATTTCAAGAGAGAAAACGAAAAAATAAAAGAACGAGAACGAGAACGAGAACGAGAACGAGAACGAGAAAAGCACACAATGTTATCAAAAGTGCGTATATTTTCTCCCCTTTAATAGTATGAATAAAAAAAAAAACAGAAAAATCAAAAAAAGAAAGCAAGACTTACAAGATTTCACTTGACTATAAATGAAATTCATATTTGTTATTTTTACTGTGGCACAATGTAATTTAACACAATGCCGTTGAGTAAGAGTTAAAACTGTTTCATGTTCACCATGTATGTGTTTGTAAGCACGCGTGCATACGACAAGGGCTATACGCTGAGCCAACAAACTTCACGGCCACATAAGGACATGAAATGCTGTCCCGCTGAATATTATATATCCGTATACCTGTATGCATACATACGTGTAGACGTATAGATTGATGGGCAGAAGTCATGACGTACGTAGAGGACAATATATATATTTTATACATATGAGTGAGGAACATAATGAGTGCGACTATACGAAGTTGTCGTTATCTAACTACAGATATGAGACAATGTGATATGCTTTTAAACATATTCTTGGACGCGAGCATATGATAGCTTTTGCAGTGTTAGAGCTAACAACAAAAAAATCAAATTGTTTTGATAAATTTTGAAAGGTCTCTAACATTTTACGTTCTTTGCTATTGCTCACTATAGCTAGATAATGGCAGGGTTTTCATGGAGTCGGTCTGAAACGCTCACTCTCTTGCAATGCTGTGCATCTCTTTGTCCTTAATTCGGTTTTATTTTATACTTTTTTATTTATTTTCCCTTTCTTCATTGACTTAAAACATTTTTACCTTCTTACCAAGCGCTGCTCCAAGCGCACATCTCCTTACTATCATTATGATTATTTGAATTGGTATGACATACGTACATCTACATGCATTTATAATACATGTAACTTTCATGCATGCCATTGCATTGTACTTATATATATGTACTTATATATATATATATATATATATATATATATATATATGGATGTGCGCAGGCATGCAATTCACCTCCATTGTAATGATGCCAATGGTGTCTGATCTTTGTATTTTGAGCACTCGCTTAACGCCCACCTGTACAGCACATATACAAAAAGTTTCTCTTTTATTTTGTTATTTTTCGCAATAACCCCTTCCGCACTTTATTTTCTATTTTTTCTCTTACTTATCATGTTTACTTTGTATTGTTTAAAATTTTAGCAGATTTTTTCACTTCTTAGTTTTTTTGCTCATTCATGACCTTTTTTATATTGTTGTCGCCGTATCCAGTCACTTTATGCGTTACCCATAAGCGACGGTATAATACATTCATGTATGTACTCATGATAAAGTTTGTTCTTAATTCATAAGTAAGTCATTCTGATAAGCGAGATACATCTTTTACTATGCAGTTTCTTTAAAAAATAATTTCAATGCTTTTTTTTTTTTCATTTTTGGTTATTTAAACAAATGGAAATTGTAATAATAATAAATGGAATAAATTTTGTAAATATTGCAATTGAAGAACAAATACATGACATTGTTGCTAAGTGTGCTCTTAATATTCTTTTTTTACGGTTTGTACTAAAATCAATTAACGCTACATCGACAAGATCGTTCATCTACCTGACTCCAAGCCAACCCATGGGATATGTACCAAACTTGTTAGAACACAGCATAAATTATTGCAAGACAGGAAAATTTTTAATTATCAGAAGAATGCTTTTACGATGGAAGCTACCTTTCAGGGAAGAAAGTGGGTAGAAAATGGTTATTTCGCCTACACAATCAACGGGCTTGGTTAATAGCATACGACTGAAAACTAACTGCGGATCATTTCATAATTATTGTAGTAATAACACTCTTTCGTACCAAATAATACTCTGACTACTTTATATCGAACTACTACTATCTTTAGGTTTTACACAATAGTGTTTGTAATCTTAGCCAGGCAAACTCGATTTCCGCGAGTCCGAAAAACATCGATCGCTGTTGGTGATTACAGTTGAATAATAAAAGTTACATGCTTTCCAATTTCTATAGTTACAAGAAGAGTCTCTCGACTCTGCAAATAGAGAACACGTAAGAAGAATCAGAAGAGTAAGTTTGAAAATTCGAATTGAAGATTTGAAGGTACTTGAATCAGAATGTCTCAAAAGCAGTGAGATTGATTGGAGCACGAACTGAAGCCGCAAGTCTTCACTATGTGACCACCAATCCCTTCCGACAGCGAAATGAGAAAAAGATTTTTGCATCACATTATAAGCGGAGAGGAAAACTTGGCTACTGCGTAAAATCACGCGCTAAACTCCGGCAAACATTAATATCGGTGATTCCGCCCGCCTTCATAATCTACACTTGGAGAAAACGGAAGATCATGTGTGCGAACATTACCGACATCAGCTGATGCAAATGCGGAAAGATTAAACGAAAAATGACTTCAATTTACTAAAAGTTATGATAAAATAGTTGTTTAAAACTCGGACAAGCACGTCGTTTAAGATTCATCTTGATTCTTCTGATATGATATGAAAAAATTAATCGACATGGTGGCGACGTCGAAAAGACGGCTAAAGCCATAAAGATGAAAACATGTGGTAGACAGTCATGGGCAATACTTTGATTAAAAATTGAAGCTATTACGACATACTTTTATTTTTTTCCGAATGAGCATTTAATTTTATGAAAAGTACGCTCAAAAAAAGTTTCGAGTTTTCTTTTCTCATGGGTGAATTCTTCAAATATATATTTTGTATATGTTATTATATACGCATATATATTTACATGTGTTCATGTATTTTATGCAAAAAATATCAAAAATTGCATCTGATTCGTTTATTTTTCTCTAGAGAGCGTTTAATTAAAAAAAAATAATTTATAATATTTTAGCATTATTTGTATGTATCAGTGTCAAATACTAACACGAATCTATGTTGTGGCATTTCTTAAATACACTTAAGTCTTTTAAGTTTATTTAATCAGTTGCATTATACATTTGGGTCATTCCCATATCATTCACTTTTAATCATTTCTTTAGTGTACCATTAAAGTGTTGCAAATAATAGGAGCTTGAAGCTCATTAAATATTAATATTAGAAGAAGAGCCATGTATGCCATCCACATCCAAGGGCGCTTAACAAAAATTATAACAACATAACTAAATAGGAATCATGTAGACAGTAAACGAAACGAAAGCGTAAATAAATATTATAAATATTTGCAACCAAAGGAAAAGGTGAATAAGCAAAAACAACAACAACAACAACAACAATAGACAACAAAGAGAAATATAAATATAAAATGAAAGCTTACTGCTAAAATTTTGTTAGTTAATGACGAAGTGTCAAAGGCATGTAAATACATGCACGTTTATGCACGAAATGTGTATGATATCCGCGCGGCCGTGTAAAAAAAATGTTAAGAAAGACCTAGTTTACGTTCGTTATTACAACGCCTTCAAATTAACAATTCAAACCGATATAACCTAGTGACAGAAATAGACAAGAAATGAACGAATGGGACGATAAAAGGAAAGAAACTGTAACGCAGCAACTACAATAACAGCAAATAATAATAATAATAATAATAATAACAGCAAAAAAATATGTGACAACAAATTTGTACACGTTTATGTCAACACTTTAGCAAACTTAACTGTCGCTGGAGGGCGTAATAAAAGCAACAATGGCACATACAAACATTTATTTTTGTAACACTCTCTAAAATTTCAATTTGTACATATGTGCATGTACGTATACATTGAGATGTATATGCAGTATATAGTGTAACGTTAAAGTTGTACTGTTGTACTGTTCATATCTACCCAGTAAAGAAATGTTTTTTATTTTCCTCTTTTTTTTACTATTTTAACAATTTACAAAAACAACAACGAGAACAAGAACAAAAACAAGGCAAAGAACACAATATTTGTTATATAGTTGAAGGAAATGTAAAATAAACAGAATATATAAGGATGTTTTTCTTTTTGTTTTTATAAATTTTTCTCTTTCTCTTTTTGTGTGTGTGTGGGCGTGTGTGTGTGTGTGTGTGTGTGTGTGTGTGTGTGTTTAATCATATGCATGTTACTTAGTCCGCATATACATTTGAATGGGTATCTAAAAGAAAACAAATCATAAATCATAACATCAACACAATATCAATTGTATACATGGTAGCAGACAGCACAGTCCTTCATACAAATCATATAATGTTGACAGCAACAAAAATAGCAACAATAACAAGAACATCAACGAGAATAGCACAATAACAATTATCTAAGAAAAACATGTGCAACATAAGAAAATCAAACAAAGCCTGCTGACTGCTGCCTACGCGTATGGGTGTGCATATGCGTGTGTTTTGCCATGCACCTACTGTCTGCCAACGCTAACAAAGCACACTTCCGAACCACCTTACTCCTATGAGTAAATATGAACATATGCTTCGTTTGGAAGTAAATATCTCCAAGGCATTTTAATATTTTAACATATTTTTCTTTTTTTTTTTCTTTTTTTTTCTTTTGGGCCAAAGCAAATTCTCTTATTTTTTTTTAAATTTTTTTTTTAATGTTATTGTATATATGTTATACTAATACAATGTGCTATGTTAATGATATGTGATATGTTCCATTTACAGGCTGATCTTCCACCTTGGATAACACGTTTACGCATGTGGGATAGTTATGGTACGTATGTGCCGATTAAAACAACAACCGGTCAACCGCCGCCACCACCTCCACCTCCCGTTGCATCATCGCCCGATGGCGGTAAGACAACAACTGTCGATCAAACTAATTATGGCAACTACTATTATAGCCCGCAAAATCCCAAATTGGGCAAAAATCTACGTGTTAACATAGATAATGCCTGGAATCCTGTCGACACATACGTTTATGGTCCAACCCAATCAAGCATATTTAATCAGGAGAATAAATACAGCGGCTATCAGATGGGCGGTGGCGGCAAACAGCCAAGCGGTAATGGCATATCATCCGTTAAAGATACCTTAAATTACATTTCAAGTAAAAATTTCAAGGAAACAGCACATGTTGGTGCTGGTGGCAGTGGTGGCAGCGGTGTTGGAGAGAAAAACCCTATAGCGTTGATGAGTACGAAGGGTAAACGACGTCTAATGCTGGAAATTTACGATTATGAAACACCGAAATTGTGCGATCATACCGCCGTCAGCAATCACGGCAACACAATCGGTTATAACAGATTAAGGCCATGTAGTCCATTGGAAAGTTACGTTAGTTCGGGCAGAGATTTGGTAAGCGTTCTTCTTTTCCTTTTTACACATATTTGTCATAAAAGAAGCGAAATTCTTTGCCCGAAAGATTTTCCGGAAATATTTGTTAGTTAACATATCTCTTATGCTTGATTGTGTACTCTAATGGCAAGTGGATTTTTATTTCATTTTGAGAGAAATTAATGAAAAAGTTACAATGAATTAGCTCTGAAGTATCATATATCCTTGATATTCACCGTTTCACGTCAGTATATTGAAAAATTTAAGCCATTTGGAGTGAAATCGAAAGACTGGGATTGGGAAGACAATGTAATGCTCCTCTGATTGCAGCCTAATAACAAATGTTAATAAAAAGACGGTTCAATCATTTTCAAGATTCATTAAAAACAATTTTTGTTGAGTTTAATAGTTTAGTCGAATATATTATTAGTTCTATTACTTTTTTTCCATTTAAAACGATTGTCAAAATGAAAACTGTCTTTAGGTGGGTACAGTCACTTTCCTGTTCAACTTGCGGGTTACAAACGCGTGCAAATATTTTAATGAAATTTCATATAATGCCGTTTTTTGGTCCAAAGATATGGATTCTAATAAGCCAACTACTTCATCCTATATAACATTTAATTTTGAAAATGTCGGCCATTAAATGATTAAATTATGATGAAAATCGATGAAAAATACTACGTTTAACAACCATTTTTTTAGTTTGAATGCAATCATTTTCTTTAATTCTTTGCTTAACTTTAAACTTTCTTATACAAGAACACAAGACCTATTTGTGAATTGACATATAAATTTATTGCGCTAACAGTCTATAAAGTTGTTCTCACCAAGAAAAAAAAAAAAAAAAAATTAACTTTTAATATAAAAAAGACATCTATTATTATCTAGTTAATGGATGGACATAGATGATATATTATATTTATTATAGAGCCGATAGCCTGTGTTGCTAGTGCTCAATGTCTTTTTTTTAGTCTAAGAATTCATTTCATTAGTCTAAAATTAAAATAATAATAATAATAATAATAATAATATATTTATTATAAGTGAAATGACGTAGGATATTCAATAGCTATTCGACGATTAGAAAGTTTTAGCTTTTGTGTTGATCTGAATTATTTTATTGAAAAAATCGAAAGGTCTTCCATTCTAAATTTAGAAAAAAATTATATATAAATAGTATTGAGACAAATTTGTTGTTGTAATAAAATGGTGCGTCTGCTGTTAACTTAAGTTTGCAATAAAATCATAATTTTTCTTATATTTATCGCTTTATATGGAAACATTAAGCGTTTGAAATAAATGCTTGGCTTCTCTCGCCTGGATGATCGTAGAACAGTAGAACTCTCTTGCACTTTTCACAAAGAGACATAAAAAAAGTATTTTCAATCAAAGTCTGCGCTGTAAATTTTTCATTACTGCAAAGCATTTTCGTCTCCCAATATAATTTTCGCTTTTTTTTTTTTTTTGCCTCGCATTTTATCATTGTTTGTCTCGGTGTGGAAAAATACCATAACATGAAATTAAGTCATAAAATTTTAATGGTCTTTTTGCGGTTCACAACACAATTTGCGGTTTTATACTCTGTATGACCGAACAACACCAACCAAAATATGAAAGAGCAGTAACAAGGAATATCGTGGAGGATAAAGAGCTGCGGATGTGCAAAAATACGAATGAAAAAACATTATAATCAAACAATACAATCACGTTAACGGCAAATCGAAAATTTCAAATCATCAACACAAACGTATGATGGAATAGGAAAATAGGTATAAACGCCAAAGTTGTCGAGTTACAAAAGCAAATGCAAAAATAAGCAAAAAAAAAGAAAAAAGTAACGGATATGCCCGAGAAAAATTGTGATTGCGAATTGTGATGCAGCATAAAAGTACATACGTATTTTATTAATATTATAATAATCAGAATATTATGATCAATTAAGAAGGCATTTTAAAATTAGTTCGAAAATCAAATATATACGCACAAGGTGAGCGAAATGGTGAGAATAAGTCGTTGTGAAGTGAAAGTAAATATTAAAATAATATAAAAAATAATGCTTACTTGATGACCGTTCTTTTGCTTTTATCGATTTTTTTTTCTCTTATATATTGTTAAAATGATGCAAATGAAAAGCGTTGTGACTTTTACTAACGGTATCTAAATGATTTAAAAGATAAATCAATTTTTTTTTTTTCAAGAATGATTAGTAGGAGCATATTTAGACATATCTAAAGAGAATGACTATATCGATTAGTATTTCTTGGCCTGCATTGGGAGTGAACTAAAGCGAATAAATTGTTAAACCTATGCTAATAAATTAAGCGTAACATTTAAAATGTTCGCCTTACTTTATCCCCTCTATTCTAAAGAAAGTTTAACTACTGTGATTATGTGAATATATAAAATGATAGAATTGGAAGACATACGACGACGGTGGGAAAGAGGGGCGAGAAATCTTAAGCAAATAAATAAAAAATTGCAATTTTTCTATTTACCTTGATTAAAATTACGACGTTATGTTTTTGTTGTTGCCATCATGAACATCTTGACTGTGGCGGAGTTTATCACGTTGTATTGTGTGTACACAAAACAGGTCATAGTCGCTGTCGTGGCAGTAAATCAAATTTAAACACTTGAATTGGTTGAGTTGAGTTAAGTCAAGTTGCGCGGCAGCGTGGAGCCCAAAGGTACTATAACGAGCACGGAGAGTTGGCGAGTTTAAGCCAAAAATCAAAAATTTTACGAATCTCACGATATACAGATATAAAATTGTCATAAGTGGCGAAACAGACACGAACAGGCGAATGTAAATATTTGCCGGGCGTTTACATGAAAGTTACGTCAATCTATAACCGAGCATGTTGATAAACTTAATTTGCTGATTTCAGTTATTTTGGTCATATGGGGAATAAATGTAATATATATGTATATGGATTCATCTTTATGTATGCTTGATTATGATGTTTTTATCCTTACGGATGTTGAGAAACAAAGTTTTAAGTCGAAATAGCCTTGGCTACTAAAAGCTCTAAAAGAATTTTTTATCAATAATGTTACTACTGTAGTGAGTTGGTTAGTCACATTAAGCTAACAGAAACTTTTGAGTCCCTTGTTACCGCTTAAGCTTAAATAAATATGTAGAATATTTATATGTGCATGTATATATGTATAGATGTATACATAGAGTACACAAACAATCTTCGTCACTCCCTCTTCACTATTTGCATTTCTAAACTACAACAATTCAACCCTACAGACCCCGAAGGCATATCATGAAAGAGTCTTTATGACATTTCTCGGTTTGAACGCAGAAAAAAAAGAAAAGAAAAGAAAAGCAACGTAAAACAAACCAGAAATAGAAATAAAGAACAAACCCAAAAAAAAAAGACTTTCATGTAATTTAATTAGAAAGCTGAGTGCTACTGTTGATACACAAGGAGAAAGCGTGGGGCCCTTTGCTGGTGGTTCGTAAAAAAAACCAGAAAAATACAAATTTACAAAATAACACACCGCCGCCAAAGCAGCTAACAAATTCTTGCTACTATTTGCCTTATCCTTAGCAAAGGCTACGTTGTAAGTTAGCATATCTACAAGGCACCTAAGTCTTTTACACCCCTTCAATAGCTTATGTTTATGTAGCTACTAAAAAATAATGGTATGAACACAGCATTTGTCATTCCCTTAGTAACATTCAGATGTGAGCGTCAGACAAATAAGTTCGTCCCTCTGTACGTCTATTAATTTATATATTGATCTAATTGCCGTTTAAAACACAAAAAATTCATATTTGTATTTCCCATTACTGGTGGGACTCGTTATTGAATTAATCCATGATTTATTCACAAAAAAGTCTTTGATTTAAACAAAAATCAAAAAAAAACGCTTTGAAGAACTTGACTTTGATCAAAGTCACTTAAATATGTAAAGTGTAGTTTAAAATAGAAGGGATCTGCCTACGCGAAAGACAATATCTTTCATAAATATTTGTTTCAGAAATAATTATTTCATCATTCATACTCATGTATATGCGTTATTAAGAAAAAAATAAATAAAAAATAAAAAAACATTAAATTACATTTAACTAAAATAGAACTTAATGATAGGTACCTTGGCTTCGCTCTAAGGTGAATACAACTTCCCGCTTTTCTTTCTTGTCACACGCCTCTGAATTTTGGCAACATTTGCAATCTTATTGCCAACCGTGAAATGAGTTGAATTTTCGCTGTTGAATTTTTTAACACATACGCTATTTCTTTATATATATATATATATATATATATATATAAATATTATTTATTTTTCTTTTCCTTATTTTCATCTTCCATTTACATATTTGCATTTTGTTGGCTTCGTCGGAGTAGCAAGTGCCAGCTAACGTAAATTGTTGTTTATTTATATTTAAAGTAGAGGGTTTTTTCTTCCCAATTTTGTTGTTGCCTTTGTTATATAAAAGAGTTATTTATGTGTTCATAAATATTTTCCCAACATTTTTTTGATTGTTGACTTTAGCTTATATAAGAAACAAGTGACAGCGCCGGCGATGGTGGTAGTGTTTATAATTTACAGAAATAATTTTATAAATTTAGCATAATTCGGATTTTTTTTATTGCTTCATTTTTTTTCATTAGCTCTCTCCAGTTGTTTGGCAGTAGAAATACTTTTATAATAAAATTAAATTCCATTGATGACGGCTAATACGAAAAATGTAAAAGAAAATGAACGAATTCAAATTTAACACTTTCGAGCAAATGGTGAAAACAAAAATTCCAACACGAAGAAATTTAATCAATTCTCTATTGTAGGCGTGACTGCGTATCTGGTGAAATCACAAGTAACTTCTCCACGTATTGTTTAAATCAACAAAGTGAAAGTCAAGTTGAATTCAAAAACCAACTAAGCCATAGATACGAACCCAATATTCAGCCCGTAATCCAATTCTTTATGTTGTGGTTTTTAAACATTTCGCCGTCTTTCGAGTGTTGTTATATATAACCTTTTTAAAATGATACTCCATTTCCGTTCGTTTCTTTTGAGTTTATATGATGATCGACTTTGACTTATTTCTCATAGTAATAATAACCAGGTAGCACAGACATTTGTTATCCAATCATTTATCAAAAATTTAAGTTCCATCGTGAAAACTTTTCTTTCGTCACTGCGAAGGCATAATTGCCCTATCGCAAATAAGACACAGAGGAGAGTAAAATGTAAATAAATTTATAACTGTGCCTGAGAATGCTGCCCATACGAGCCGTTCTATCAGCTAATCTCAACTAGCTAATTCTAGAAACTGGGCATCGTACTGTTTTTCCATTCTTTTTAGAACAAATTTAAAGAAAAGAAGTTCTCTAGCTCATGTGGCATGTGGTTAGACAATAACGTGAAATGTATATATGTGATAGGGAATTGCCCGTCTATATACATTTTCGCCTGTCCACCGTTAAATCTGTCTGAAAGATAACATTGAGAACATGTGTAGTGTTTCGATGAGAGTGGTTTGTTGGCAGATGGAGAGCATGTCCAGTTGCTCGCCCACTTTGTATATATGCAGACACAATAGTCACTGTCATGAAATTGTCTTTGAAGAGCCATTCGCAATTGTCGAAGAATTTAGCTTTCCCTTAACAGTTTGTATCAGATTTCTTGAATAGACCTTGATCAGCGCAAGTATAAACCCCATGTCAACTGTTCTAATTATTAAAACATTTTCAACACCATATATTAGCCAGTTACATGCCTTGTGATTACATGCTTGGGAATTTCGAGATATTTTTAATCGAAAACCATTGGTAATGATAAGGCTTAGTTCCCTCTTGATGACTGCATAGGCAAAGGAAATTGTCAAGCCAGATTATCGAAAAATATATACAACGATTATAAAAGGGCAACATCTTCAGTTTCCAAACAACAATGTTTCGCTCAATATATGAACGAATTCTTCGTCTCTGTAACGTAACTGCCTCTATCCACCATCGTGAGTGACGAACTATTTGTTGAAATAATATCGTACTATGTTAGTCGGTTTTAAATTTCGCTGGGATGATTTGACATACATGAAATAAGGCGAAAAAGGATTAAGACAAGATTAGAGACTCTGTGATCTAAATTTTCTACCCTTTTTTTTATTAATTCGAAATGCCACCAGCTTTTCAGCTTTTCAATAACAAACTTACGTGAACTGCACCAAATTTTATTAATAAATTTTATATATTCATATGCGATCTACTTAAATTACCACGCTGTATACACTATTAATCTTGCTTGCTATATGGAGATTAATCTTACCACTACATACAGTTTACTTTACGGAAAACTTTGCTATTTATATGCGAAAGTGGGAAAAAATCGACCATGCCCACACAAAGTTATTATTATTTTATTTTTTCTAAATTTTATACTTCTTTATTACAAGGTAAGCAATACAGAATATTTAAAATGATTTTGTACATTCCTCAAATGAAGGCATATTATCTGCCTAAAAAGGTGTTCATTTTAAAATATATATGGTGGGCACCACAAGCTGATTAATGAATATTTTCTTAATAATATCGTCAATAAGGGTGTCAAATGAAAAGACTTGGTAAGTGGAAGGTGACCACCTAAGTATATTAATTCTAAATTAATTAGGACGAATGTTATGACATCTTAACCATTCCTTTTACTAAAGATAAATAAAAGGAAGGAAGGTGTGCTAGTGATTTTAACGATGAGGGCATGCCAGATTCGACCTCAGCCGAATACCATTTTCTTATTTGTTTCTTTTGAAAATTTTATTTCGTAGATTCAAAAATTTTTTACATTCTGTACCAGGTCTCGTGTTTGCAACCAACAAGCCCCAACGGGAACAAAAATTGTCGTTAACTTCCCGTTTCTGGAAAATTTTCTTATAAACAGCGGACGCGCCAAACTGCATAATGTCAAATTTTTTTTATTGTACTTTTTAGACAAAAAATTTTTTTCGAAATTAATAGATATAATTATTTTTATTTTTTTCGTAGAAACTCGAATTTCATACGCATACCGGTACCGCCCTTTTTCCAGCACAATTCTCATTGAATTATGAATTTGTCGATACCGAGCAAGGTGGTGAACCTTGGCCGGGTCGTCGTGGTGAGGAACCAATACCGCCGCTTTGTTCACGTGTATTTCGTAAGCGAAAAGGCAATGTACAAGTTCCGCGAAACGTTTTCCTTTTCGGACGAGGAGGTGCCAAAAATCTTACCTGCTTATATCGTTTCGAGGCAGGACCATCGGAACGAGTGCGTTTGGTGTTGCATAATGTCTCCTTTGGAGACGGCACTACTTGCACCACAGACAATGATCTGCACACCGGTCGGCCGAAATGCAATCAATTGGATCCCGAGGGTAGAATAACAGAATTAAAACTATACGATGTACCCTTTCGTGACGTGAAAATACAATTGGGTTGTTTTTGTGATAATTCAAGTGTCCTGTATAGTAATGCTCCATTGACGTTTGTCTCCAACTCACGCATAATGGAATTAACCTTTACCGTCAGTAAATTAAATATATCGGAGGATTTTGCAGATGTTTACTTCTTCGCTTCGTACGAGTTTAAGAGAGTAAGTGAATGCCGAAAACGATTAAAATTGAAAGGAGCGGGAGGAGAAGATGAAATCAAATATCCAATGAAATCGCAAGACTCCAGTTGTGAGGGTTTATCGTGGTATATCGAAGCTCAAACACTTGACAAGTCGTTGTTCGTGCAAACATGGGGTTCATATTTACCAGTGGATCCCACTTCAGAAGATGCTATGAGATGTCACACTAAAAATCGCTTAATGATTTATTCGGGTCGTCCCTTGAGACCAATGCGGGTCGTATGCCCTGCTCAGAGTGGACCACGTCCCACCTCTCTCCATATATTCTCCGAGGACTGGACGAACGGCCAACCAATATTTACCAACAAGTAAGTTTACATGAGAACAAATCTAAATCACAATTAACATTCATCCCCCAGTCAAGATTTTTATATGAGAAAAAAACAAAGTTGCATAACCGATAAAACTAAATACGGCAGGATAGCCGTGTTATTAATAGAAATGTGACAAAAGCCATGTTATAAGCAGTAAAGTGAGCACACTTTGCGTAACTTTTCCAGAAGGTTTGAACATTAATTAAAAAACGATATCTATTTCGCAGCTCATGTTGCCTTTTGGCTAAAGAAGTGAAGACGAAACGTATTTCCAAACTTATGGCCAAACTGTAAAACTTTGGTCCGACAACTTCATGTTACGAAATATTGAAATTATTATTGTTCTTGTCGGTGGTTGAATGTGTGTAGCTTGTATGTGTGCATGCGTGGGTGTTTGGGTGTATATATATGTCTGGTTGCATATTTAGTGTTCATTTTCCCAACTCCAAAAACCAAAACAATTCACTTAAGTGTATGTAAAAGGATAATAGCTACAAATACAGAAATATATGTGTAGATGTACAAATGCATAATTACATACATACATATGCATATGTAAATATGCGTGAGTTTTGGAAAGGGCCCACAAACTCTCTTCTTTATTGTAATGCTGCGAATGTTCAGTCGATAAATTACTACTACAGTTGTCTATAGATGTACATAAACGCGTATCATACATTCATGTAGAAGTGATACAAACAGGCTGAGAAATATATAAATATATATATATATATATGTATACAATTGTATATACAGTTGTAAGTAGTACTTGATTACGCCACACCGATGTACGAATACTCACACATAATCTACGCATATCCTGTTAAAATGTGTTTACTGCCATAGTCTGGCCTGCTTTCCTACGGTCCTATCGTCCTATGGTCCTTTTCGCATCTATTTGCAGATTCTGCACAATTACTTTTGTAACAACATTCGTAGATTGCCACGAACACAAATATTCGTTAATACGTATACGCATATATATATATTATATATATATATATATATATATATATATACATGCATATATATTTTTTATATATAAATGTGTAGATATATTTTTACTTATACAAATATGAAGGATAAATTTATCCTTAAACGCTAGTGTCAGCAATTTGCGGATTAAATGCAACAACATGGAAATAAAATGATACAAAATTCAAAATAATTTCAATCCCGTTACCTCAGCGCCTTCCTCCTCTCTTTCGCTTACTCATTCATTATACGGTTTATATGTGCGAATATGCGATTTTTGACAACACGTCATTTAGTCTGTCGTTTCGAATATATGAATATTTTTAAATATATACATGTGTAAGATATGTATACGATAAGAACGAGGCAATACTAAATATATGTATATATACTAAGAATATCATAATAAACTGGATTATGGATCAGCTAAAAAGTTAAATGCTTTTGATCACGAAGATATTATTTAAAAATATAAAATAAATTTTTAATTATTAATATTCAACCAATACGAACACACATGAAATTACTTCCAATTATATTACGAAACTTTATCTAATAAATAAAAGTATGTTAAACGAATCTTTTTACTTGTGCAACATCAAATGATACCACATGTCATACTCCTAGTAGTAATATTTACGGGGGGGGGGGGGGGGTCATAAAAAAACTACTCCACATAATTAATCTCAATCCTCCAAAAGTTAAAAAAAAGAAAAAAGTTTACTAAGTTAGATCCATTCTACGACATCAGATAATTCCCTCAATTATTGTACGCACATAAAGGAATTATCCATTTTTTGATTGCGAAAGTAAACGTAAATCCAACACAATTTTAATTGAGATTTGGATCAAATTGTCTTTCTCAATAAATTGTTTGGATATTGACATTATTTGTGGAAATGTCTTCCACGGAACATCTCACCGAAATGAACTCCCTTTCAGGCAATTTTGTCCTTTTTTCGTTTGCATAACCCAAAAGTATAGGCTAGAGACGACCCAAGGGCTACAGTTAGAGAAAGAGGGATAGGATGTTAAGCTGCTCGAACTAATTTCCTCAGTTCTTATAAAAACGAGAACTTCTGTAAACCGCAAGAATAGAAATAAAATGCCGAAATTTCACTTACCCACAGCATTCATCGGTTACCCATAAACGTGTCCAGAAAGTTGAATAACTTTGAAAAGTCTACAAAATGCTTTCCTCAACAACTTATCAAGGCCAACAGGTTGTTTAGGAGGTAAATTAGTACTTATTACGAGAAAAAAATTAAATATTTAGGTCAAACCAATTTTTAGATATCTGTAATCAGATTTTTTTCACTTTGCATTTCAAAGTAAAAACAAATTAAATTTTCTAAATCTTTGCAAAACATAAAAGAGAGAACCGAGGAGCTTTATTGATCTAAAAAGTTATGGAAACTTCAAATCATGTTTATTTAAGTTACGGTAGTAACCCTGGCCACCTGAATTTTTATTCGATTGATTTAAATTTTTGACTGCAGCTCCAAAATAAGATTTCGTGTAGTAACGAAAAAATAAAACAATAATCAAATTTCAAGCAATGTTTCCAAAAAAAAAAAAAAAAAAAAAAAAAAAAAAAAAAATTACAAATTAGGACCGTTTTATCTTAAAATCAAGTAGTTTACTAGATTTTGTCTCACAGTTTGAGAACATTTTTGGTTTTGTTGTTTAAAGTTAAAAATCGTAGCATATAGCAAGCAGCTCAGTAAAAGGGCGCGAGGAAAACCTTTGGAAAAATTATTTGATATACGTTAAGACTTTTACTTTAATATATACGGATCCGAAGACAGCAGCAGAACGGAGAAAAGAAAATTACGATGTGGAGCCTATTAATCGTGTGTGTTTGTATGAAATTGTATGACAAACACTCTCTCATCGTATATATTAAAATATCATTAAAAATTAAAAGTTCTTGCACATAGTTTGGCATTGAAAATATGCCAAATCGCTCAAAGCGTACGATTGCAGTACCGCGTAAACTAACAACACCTCTGTCTTCAAAGCAAAAAAAAACGTGTTTTTTTAGCTCATTACTCGTAAACCGCACTTGATAAACCAACAAAAATTTTCGCATACATTCTACCGTACTCTATAATATGATAAAAACTGATCTCGGCCATGTCTATCTGATTCTACTCGCTTTTTAATCCTTCGTTCACTTTCTTCTTCTTCTTCTTCTTTAAGCAACAGAAGAAAATGCCGTTATATATATTTAAGATGATATTTGTAGTGAACGCAAGTCAAACTTACTTCAGTTTAGTTTAATTCACACTGACATTTGGTAATAAAAATGTATAATTCAGTTCATTTATCACGTGGTCTCCTTTATATTTTTTTGCGCTCAGCAAAATTAATTAAAATTATTGATAGAGAAAGTGAACTATGGAATGGCTCGAATGGTTGTTTCGAATTTCTTTAGAAAAATTTTGGTTTTCTAGTCTTTCGCTACGCTAGCGAGGGTGAAATTGCCAAGTCTGCAAGCAGGCTTTTTCAAGTAAATACTTGGGAAAGTTGCAAAACGACCTCAAAGCATATGCATGCATAAATGGACAAACGATATATCTCGATAAGCTGAACTTAAAGGGTGGAAATAATATTACATGTTAACCTAAACAACCTAACCTTAACCTAACAAAGAAAAAACCAATGTATTTATCACTATCATAAAAACGTGCTATAAAATTACTTTGAATTTCATTAGTTTGAACATATGCTTACAGAATTTCGGGAATTTCGAAAAATTTATTTCGGGAAATTTTATGACCTTAGCCATTTTCCATTCCATGTCGACTCTCAATCGTAACTTTCCTATTATTAATGATATATAAAAAATGATGTTATGTCGAATCGAAGGCATTCTTCAGGTCGGTTGAATCTTGTGGCGTTTTCGTAATTATTTATTATTAAAATCTCTACAGTTTACTTAACGAAGGATTTTTTTTTTTTTTTGCTTTTCTTTTTTATTCAATTCAAGCGATAGACAAAATTTATATCACATTGACATGTGTCAGAGATTATGCAGACTTAACTTATGTAATTTCGTATTGTTTTTTGTATTTCTACTTTTTTAAATTATCTTTGCAGACCTGTCAGTTTAGTGTTGGAGCCGATACTTAAAGAACCAGGTGATATAGCATTTACGTGGCTGGAAATATATCGCACTAAAAATGCTTTGTTGCAACAATTTGATTTACAAATGAACAACAGCAGTACCGCAGTAACCACCAGTGGTGGTGGTAGTGGTGCTGTCACTCCTGGTATTGGTGGTAGTAGTGTTAGTGGTGGGCCTAGCAATGATACACTAAATGAATTTGGATTTTATCCAAAAGAGTCAGATTGTGAATATAAATGTCCTGAAATTGATGCTTGCATAGCTGCCAGCCTGTGGTGCGATGGTAAGTTTTTCCACATTACAAACATGCACACATATAAACATTCATATATATATATCCATATATATATCCATATATATATCCTTATATATACCCATATATATGTGTATATACATATATACTTGCACACATTTGTTATTTTTAGTGCCTTCTCTGCTTTTGTATCAAATATCACGTTGTTCTGTTGCCCCATCGCTTTTTTTAGGGGTCCACTCACCTTTTGCCGTGTATGTGATAGCAAGTAACTGGTAACTGGTAATATTGTGGTACGTTACGTTGTACGTCGTGCTTTACAAAATTTACGAGACTTTTAATAATTTATTTCGAAATTTTTTCTTTGTTTTCCTTCTTTTCGCAAATCACATTGTCACAAAGATAGAGAGAAAGAGTGAAAGAGAGGGAGGGAGGCTTAAATTTTTTGTTTTTCTATTTGCATTTAAATTTCTTTCGAACAACACTCTCAATTAATGGGAATTTGTGGCTTTATTTGCTAAGTTGTATTTTTGCTTCTTTTTTTTTTTTATTCTTTACATTTTATTTTTTATTTTCGTATTTCTTTTTTATTTCTGTTTATTTACTTACACCTGAAATGCAGGCCGACCTCGATTTAAAAAGCATCCATTCATTCATCCAATTGAATAGTTTTTAACTAAAATGGTTATTTAAAGCAAAGTCCTTGAAAGTTCAATTGCTGGGCATTTGTGTTGTCAGTTTGGGAAATGAATAAAAGCTAAATAATTGATACGAAAGACAGAAAGAGGGAACTTTTCGAGGATATTATCGTTAACAACGATTAAACGCTCAACCAAACATTGACAGGTTTTCCCTTAAAGCTTAAATGCCAATTAACTGATTTTCAAATTTAAAATTTTTTAATCGTAGCACCTCAAGGCTAATTTAAAAAGCTCCGACCATGCTTGAAGATGACTTACCATACGGTGAAAATTCGTTCTTTTTTTTTTTTTAATAAAAAATTAACCATTTTAAAGGAATTATTTTAAGAAAAGAAAAAGGAAACAAGAAGATTTCACCAGATAAGTTATTCTTTGCTTTGAACTGTTGATAAGAGAAGAAAAAGAAATTCCTAATAAAAGTTTCAGAATCTAGCGAAGATATGAAAGGATTAAATGATAAATAAGTACGACTTGGAAGCTTTTTAACTTTTAATTATTTATGACTGGTTAGTGTCAGATGGATGAACAAACCGAAACCAACGCCAAAACAAGTAAGCAATAATAATAACAACAACAGTGCACAGTTAGTGGCAGTCAGAGAGAGGCGACACCATACAGCAAACCATTCAGAAGCAAAAGCAGAAAAGCAACAAAAACCCTCAACTTTTTAACCGCATAAGAAATTTATTCATAGAAAATTCAAGACTCGAATAAGGATTCTTAAAAAATGTACAAAGAAAGCACATAAAACAAAAAAAAAGAAGAAGATAAAAAGCAAGAAAGTTTTAACCGCCTGCTGCAAAATCTTAAATAGCCACCACCTTCATATTTATGTAAATCGAGGATGTTCGCTGTTCCCTTTTCCTCACTTACTTAGCTTCTAGATTGTTCAATTGAATAACTTAAATAAATATGATACCCATATCTAATTTACGTTTAAAATCACTGAAGCTAATACATTTTTGAAAGGTTTTTTTTTATGATTCACGCCCCCTTCCCAACTTAATTTGCGTCCATATAAATTACGAATACATGTGTTTAGTTAATTTCAGCTTTTTTCGTCTATTGTAAACGACGCTTTTTCCAAAACGGAATGGAAAGACGGACGCATAAGTCGCGAAAGCTCTGAAGCGTATGTATGATTATTACAATCGCAATGCCTAGCGTAGTATGTCTCCCACTCTTCGCTGATGGGTATAAAACCAAAAAAAAGAGAAAGAAGATTATTATATGGAACGGACAAAAAGCGAGCCTCGAATAAAATGGGAGAAAGTGGAAGAAACAAAAATAAATGGAAATAAATATAAAGGACTTACTGCATACGAATTAAATAAATTAGCAACAACTGATCCTTAGAAAAGAGAACAGAAAAGTGTACATGAAAATAAAAATATTTAATACTTTGATCAGTTTACCGATTCTATTAATTCAATTAAAAACAAATCGTAGTATATAGTAAACAGTTATGTCATCCTGGGCAATATAACTACGACTGCTCACATAATTGAACACGCGCTAAAAGGCCAGATTTAAATTATTTTCTTGCGCTGATATTATTATTATTACTATTATTATTATTTCTCTTCTCATATTTCTTTCTGTAGTAGATTTAGCTTACAGGTTAAGAGTAATAGTTCATCTTGAATTTTCATTTAGTTGTTGGTTGGGTTTTATTTTTGTCATCAATTTAAAATAAATAAACAAATAAGTAGCAAACTTTACAGCGCCAGCAATTGTACACTCGAAATCAAAGTTTTCGTTTGATTTTCGAAAATGAAGACGTATAAGCGCTAAATCAACTAATCTCCTTGTGGTAGAGCCATGATATCCATCATTTTCAAGAAAGATTAAAATTGAAATTGATCTAATTAATCTGCACAAACTACGTTACAAGAGTTTTATTTTTGTTTTTGTAGTGTTTCGTGAAACATTACATAGAAAAGAAACCAACAGAAGACTGCAGATGTGTATACGTAAGCATATAAATATATGTATATACCAGCCCGTATTAATTAGTTAAAAAAGAAAAATAAACGACCCAAAACGTTATTTGAAAAAAAAAAAAATGTTTTTTTTTTGAATTCCCACACTCTTTCCGAGCTTCTGTTACAAATGCAAGATTGTGCGTGTGTGAATAACTACATTCATAAATTTATTATAAACAAATTGGCTAAGAACACATATCGTATTTTTCGGACTATAAGACGCATTTCAAATTTATAAAAAATATATTTTAACGTTATTAGCAGATCAAAATTTGTATTTATTATTAACATAATTCGTACTAGCAATATTTAGTTCATCTTCACTTTTGATACTATCACTCATTTCGTTAATGTCACCGTTCGTATTACTTTCATTTGAACTATTGTTGTCGTACCTCACATACCTCAAATTTAGAGACAATTTATTGAAAAAATATTTTAATGTTACCTTCGGACGATAAGACGCACACAAAATTTGACTCCATTTTTCTATGCAAAAAGGTGCGTCTTATAGCCCGAAAAATACGGTATGCCAAAGCGAACTATCTATTTAAATTTTATTTACACTAAGTATGCCCACAAAAATGAACGGGCAGATGATCCGACGAATATAGTTAAATCTCACTCTCATCAAGAGTCGCAAGACGTCAAGTAGAGAAACAGCTTTAACTAGTATGCCATCCTTTCATAGGTGGCACATATAAAGGAACTTATTTACTGAACCAGTTAATTAAATAAAAACAAGATTTTCGTTTAAAACATAGTTTTGTATTTATTTTTTTATCAAGTTTGTCCCTGACTTTTTAAAAATTCGTACTTTTATATTGTTGGTTTCAAAACCACAACACTTACTTGTGAAATGTCTTTCTTTTAAAAACAACGCCAACTGTAATCATACGAGGCAGAAAGAAAGCAGAGATAGAACGATATGTTCACGCTTCGTCCCGTTGTTCAAAATCCAAATTCAAGTTTCTGATGTGTTTCGTTTTTAGAAAAAAATCAGGGCAGAATGTACCCACAGTCGTTGACGTGTTCAGAAGTTGATATCTAAACAAATAATACCAACTCCATTTCCCATCACCTAAAACTATTCGGATCAACAGTTTTTAAGAAAATGTGAATGATTACTTTACTCGTGATTCGCAAGCTTAATACTATGGAATTTTACCACCACTACCACAATGCGCAAGTTAGTCAAAAGACATATGGCTTCATCGTGAAAGCCGTCGCCTGCCAGTTTATTATTGAAACATTGGAAGCAGCGGTAAATTTTTGATCTTTCATGCTTGAGCAAGCGGAGATACGGGATGAGGCCTGTTACTCTACTAATTACTTATTTTAATGTTGTGGAATAATTTGTAAAAAACCAACAAAAACAACTTTGTCGTTCTCAGTATGTTGTTCCTTAAATTTAGTATATGTTTTTCAATGGATTTTTATTGTATTCACTTTGATTCTGACGAAATTTCCCGTATGTTTTTGAAATGATTACCATTCTTCTTCCGTAGATTTTTTTTGCCATTAAAAACGTTTACCTTTCAATTAATTTTTCTAAACTTGGTAACAGGTGAAGTCGAAATATATAGGAAGTAGTAAATATTAATGAATCCGCTCTCAATTTACCCACTATAAGAGCATATCTGCGAGCCGAATTATATTTTGCTTTCTTAAACGTAGTCTAGCTTAAACGTAACCAATTAATCAAATACACCTTACGATTTTCTCAAACTCAGATATATTAATCTTATACTACGAACTTTTCAATCAATCAAGTTGACGTAAAAGATGAAGTAATTTTTAGACTTATTCTTCACGCAAAAAGTTTCTCATTTTTAAGGAACAAAACAGTTTTGTATTCCTGTTATGTTTTTTTTTTTTTTTTATTTTTTCAGGCCACCATAACTGTCCATCAGGTTTTGATGAGTCCGAAGAAGAATGCGGCACAGCCCGAAAATTGCTTGAATTGCCTGGTGGTGTTTTTGCGGCTTTAGGCTGCATAGCAGCCGCTGTTACCGCCTGCCTGATATTTTGCATATTCGGTTTGCTGAGAAAGCGAAAAAAAACTGTTCTACAAAAATCAATCATTAATGGTGGCAGTACACTGAAAAAGGACTTTAAAAAAGAATCTCTTTTCATTGACCCGGCCTCCTGACACGGGCTACAGCCGGTCGAATACATACACGTTGACCGGGAGACCACAGTGTGATATGTTGTCAAAAGCTGGCTACCAAGATGAAGAGTTATTTTATTGAAACTCTCTATTCAAAAACTCATAAAAGATATGAAAATATTTTTACCAAAAAAACTCCTTGCACAACAATTTTACACAACGCACAGTGACCGATGAGGCCATAACAGCGGCGCATGTGCAAGATGTACAATATATATTAATAATGTATGTACCAAGTAACAAACGTGAGAAAAGTGGAAAGTTTTCTACCGCTAAATATAGTAAAAATGTAATAGAGTAAAAATGTGTTATACTAAATAGTAAGTGAAAAAAAAAGTTTTTCTAAACGCTTACGTTTTTGTTTATAAAAATTTTTACTTTAAAATATATAGTATTATTTAAGATTTCATTCAAGTTTTATTATAGAAACCAAAGAGAATCAATCAACAAAGTCACTGCCTTAAATAAATCATTTCTCTCTCATTAAATTGTGATTTTTTGTTGCTGTTTTAAGTTATTGTAAACAATTTTTTCTTTTTTTCTTTTGTTATTTTAAAACTCATGTAAACTATTAAAAAAAAAAGAAAAAAAGAAAGAAATAAAAAAACACGAAAACAAAAAACTATTGTGTAATTTAGGTACCTTTCAAGAACAACAAACAATGATATATAGTTGTATGTCAAAATGTGAATTAAATTACTGCCCTATAGTTTGGCAATATTTTAATTTTTAGTTTTCTAAAATGTTTCATAGAGAAACAAAATCAACAAATAATAAACAAAACGAAAAACAAAAAAAAAAACAAAAAAAATATGTTAAAAAATAGATCAGCACAACAACAAAAGGAAAATTCCGGCAAAAGGAAAAAAAAGGAACCCACAAACCTTCATAAATATATGAATAAATACATACCTAGATATAAATGCATACATATTAAGTATAAGTTTTATAGTTTAAATAAGGAATCTCGAAAGTGTTGTGATGTCAAAACACAAAAGAATTCAAAGCAAGTCTCTCATGCGAGCGATTTAAATTAATTGCGAAAGAAGCAAATATTCGGCAAAAAAGTTGATAAGCAGCTAATTTCAATCGTATTCATTAATAAATGAAACTGACTCAAATTTCATGCGAAAAAATTCTTTTGTTTTCCCTAGGCATGTTGCATCTATGCGATCGAACTGACCTCCTAATGATTGACGATTAAAAACATATTGATTAATGAGCAAAACATACTCATTTCTTTAAAATTCTTTGAAATTGTAATAACTGCACAGTGAAATATGAAATCGATTATATTGTAATCAGATCAAAAGTATTCAGATTAATTTTTCATATTAATCATCGAAATGATGAATCTTGACTTAAACTACGTACGCGTTATAACAAGAACGTTACGAAGATGATATGTGAAAAAATTGGAAAATATTATCAAAAAAATTTTGAAATTTTTACAATTTTAATAAATATTGGAAACTGTTTTTACGCAACAAAACGTTACAAAGGTATAGAATATTGCCGTTTATTTGTCATATTTGATATGCAAGGCCTAATTAAAATCCTTTTTATTACATGTGTACTTTATTATAGAAAGATAATGATGATAATTTGTAAGTAGCAATCCAAATAAATGATCGCAGACAGGTAATGAGAAAGACATTCATACACAATACACATACGCAATTAAGGCACACAGGCGGACAGATGCATTCTTCTTTGCATTAATAAATGCATGCCGACAAAATTAATTGTTATATATAGAAATTTATATGCATACATACAAAAGTATATAAACATATACACATATATATATATATATATATATAAACACACATGAATGCATACATACATACATTTATATTAAAATAATTATAAGTATTATACAATAAAATAAATTGAAAGGATTATTATAGATACACCAAAGGTTTATTATATATATTGAACAAAATTATGTGTACATGTTTTTGCATGCATTTATGTCACTTACTTAATTCTTATTAGCTAAGCACACAAACGTTCACATTTGTAATAAGGGTTTTATACACTCTCTCACACATTCGCGTTCATTCACCATACCACTTCCGATCCCCTAAACCAAATTTAGGAAAAACCTTGTAAAATATGAAACGTTTCTTTAGGATGATTACAACGTATATATAAGTATACATATATGTATATATACGTATGTATATATATGTATATATATATATATATGTATATATATAAGTGTATATATATATGTATATATATATATACATATATGTTTGTAAGCCTGTATCCTTGTATGTATGTATGTATGTATGGATGTAAGTATGTATGAATGTCTGTATAAATGTGCGTATGTACGCATATAGTGATTATTTTACCAATTTAGCCAATAATTATATATATATATATATATATATAAAAAATATATATATATATATATAATAATTATACATGTATTCATAATGTGTCAGAATCATAAAAGAGAAAAATCAATATTTTTAGCTATAATTACAGACTCAAAGACATGCCAAAGGTAAGAAACTAAAACGAATTACACAAAAGAAAAACAAACAAAGAATTCACAAATTACAAAAAAAGAAGGGAAATAAATACAGAATAAGGCAAAAATTAAAAATTTACTCGAAATAATTTTTAAAAAGTAAGCAATTTTAACGTATTCTTCTTAAACCGATATTATTGGGAGAATTATTATTATACTACTTTTTTATTTTCAAAGCTTTAATAAAATTTGTTAAAAGTCATATAATGTAATGTTAAAAACAAGTTAATTTTTTTAATATTTCAATTAATTGAATTTGTCCACAAACACATTTATTTTTCCCGTTTTTCTCTTTTAATAAAAAAAAAATGTTATTAATCCAACTCCGGTTTAAAAATATACCGATTTTAATCTTATCTCCAAAAGGTATGTTACAAATCTTATATGTAGGTTTCGCAAATGCTTTGAATTTTTCGTACTTGATTTTGTTGTTGGATTTTGCATTCTTGTTTACATTCCTATTTTGTGTGGTGTTGCACTTCGACACTTGTTCAAGGTGGCGAAGGGCAAATTGAAGACGCTTTCTCTTACAGATAGAATCAGGCCGCCCTACCTTACTGTAACAAAATTTGTTGTACTCTTATAAAGATACGCATGGTATGCAACCTTCTAAACAGATTATGTATTACTGCGAAGTGACCGATAAACAGAAAAAGTTTCTTGTCAGCGGAATAGGGGATGCGACAATCGATTTGGTCTAATTATCTGTAAATGAATTTCGTGAGATGGGAAATTGAAAACGTAGTCTTAATAGTCTACCTAGTTGTTTATTACGAATCTTGTGGTTTTAAATGAATAAAACAAAATCCATGAACGAATAATTAAATATCTGCTAGGCTAAGCATTAGGAGCTTTAGATTAAAACATTAATCATGAATGGCAACTATTACACCCTATACCAATTGCGGAACATAGTGTATTAAGTCAGTGCGGATGTGTGTAACACGCAGAAGAACTTAGGATACCCCACCTTCTAATACACACAATTATATTTTTTAAATCGATCTAGACCTATCTGACTGTTTGTCCCTCTGCCCGTCTAATATTTGTCCGTGTGTTTTTGTATTCAACCTACAGGTCGAAATTTTGGAGACCATTTGATGAAAATTGGTGCACTGACGTGTTTTCTCCCCACGACCAATATTGTTGAAAATGGTTCGGATCGGTCCAATTTTTCGACCACTCTTCATAAAACGCCTTATTTTGAAAAACTGTTATATGGAAACATATTACAATCTTCAAATTTTCGGACAAAATTAGCTGTGTAATAATATATCGACATTGGCATGAAAAACTTAATTCGGCTGCATTAAACTTTTGGATCCCCCTCATATAACCTTTGCTACCGAAACTGAATCTGTACATGGTAAACAGGTAGAATTTTCAATCTTTCGTGGTAAAAATTGGCTCAAAGAAATTCACCTTACCGAACTTGGACGACGAAAGTGAATCTCATGAAACGTAAACACTTATTTGTTAAACAGACCTAATTGCTAGTTTTTTTGTGATGAAATATAATAATTAAGTGGATCGAATTTGAACCACATGGGTCTATTTCTTGGCCCCACTTCGTGCAAGATATCTAGTGAGTAGTAAGCCCTTCGGAAAGGCTTTTTAATATTTTATGATGAAGGTTAATTCGTAGTAACGATTGAGCAAGAAAGCTTAATGGTAGGGGATTGGGGTCACATAGGTCTATTTTTTCGGAGCCTAACATATATAAGGATTATCACGAAAAGCAAGCTCATATATGGAGAGAAAATCTAATCTTTCAATATGCGGGTTACTGTTTGGTGTATTATTACCAAAGCGATTGAATAACTGTACTAAGCGATGTTGTATAGGGTATGTAACGGTTGGTGTTGCTTGACTATAATGTTCTTACTTGTTGTACCCACCACTGTAAAATGGGGCAACACTCATTTTGGTCTTTTTTCGTAATGTTTGTAACATCCAAGAAGAAGCTGCTTGATTAACGTGAAATCTTGAGATGTCTGTGCCTCTGTGTGTCTGGGTGGTGTGTGTTGTTGGCGCTCTCCTGGCCGCAAAAATGAAGATATAGACTTCAAATTTCGAAGAAACATTGAAAATTTCTGCACGCAGTTTGGTGTTGAAAATAGTTCAAATCGGTCGAAGGACACGCCTACAGCGCTGAATAAACCTCCATTTTCTAAAAGCGATAAAAAAAATTCCTGATTACTCTTAAACTACTGCAGACAAATTTATTAAAATGTAACCGCATATTCCATGGGCAATGCTCTGCATCTGTAAAAAAAGTGAAAAAAATCGGCCACGCCTTTTTATAGTGTGTCATAATATATAACGCACAGAAACAAGATTGAAAAATCCTATAAAGTATAAGAGTTCTTGGCCAATTTCAAATTCACGACGCGCTTAATCGTGCCCATCTGTGTAGTACCTGTAATAAACATTCTCCCGTTCACAAAAATGAACATATCGCCCACAAACTGGCAAGAGAATTTTAAAAGGAACTAAGCTTTTCAAAGCACATGACTATGCAACAAAAACTGTTAAAACTTTATTTTCAGTGTTTTTGCTAGTGGAATACATACACCATATAAATTTATCCTTTTATTCTTGAAATAGAAAAAAAACAACCGCACACAGCCAATATTATAGAGCATGAAACCTGAGTTATTTTCTCTTTTTTTAGCTTTCCTAAGATAACGGCGATGGGCATAAAGAATTTGGTGATGACCGAATCTTATTTTCTCACTCGTTTTAAGTTCTTGACATAGAGTAGAGACATCTGAAGACGCGTAGCAATCTAAGCCCATAAATTTGGTAAAGAAAAATTGTATAAAAATCTTCGTATGAATGATTTGCTTACTGAGACCGCCTTTAAATACTACCCTAGTAAGCTCTTTAAAATGGTTACCTGTTCAAATATGTACAAAAAGTTACAACGATTTACTTGTCCTTATTCTTTAATATATACAGTCGCCTTTTGTAACTCGCTACCCTACGA